GCTAGACAGGATTTTCGAGACCCACAAAGCAAGTGACTCTTAAAGGTTTCACATTGTCTTCAAGTCCTATACCATGTATTAAACGCTGGAATTCTCCCCCCCTCAAAAAAGTGCAAAAGATGAGAACTTAAAGTAAAACTCCATTTTCCTATTGCTCCACAACCGCAGTCTTCCCAGACTCTGTTGAAACCTGCCAGCAATAAACTTGGGCAGCTTTCTAATTCTGTCAGCTAGACCTCATTTCCAAATATGAAAAAGACCTGAGAAACTTGTCTTCTTTGAAGGTCTCGGCTTCCCCAGTCATGAAAATGTTCTTCTCCTTATTGTTAGTAGATTTGTGCTTTGCCCTGCTCCACATCCAGCAATCCATTTCCTAGTCAAGCTATACGTGAGGCATAATACTGTGAACATATTTATGGGAAAGTGTGGTGTTTTCTTTCTTTTCCTCCCACTGGAAGACATGTAGAAGAGAACTGTGGTCGTTACTCATTTTTATTCCTCTTGCTTATATCCAAAGAATTTCCAAACTCGTCTAGTTGAGGCATCCCTGTTCTCACAGGATTGCCGCTCACTCCATCTGTGTCCTAGTCAATTCTTCCTTTATCCCAGGCACTGGCGCATTGACACTGACACATTGATGTTCTCCTTGTGAGAATTAGCCTATCACATTCATTTACATCCACTTAATTGCTGCTGCTATTGTTTAGTCCGTTAACCTCCAGCTAGGGTGCAATTCACGTGAACACTGGGGAAGCACAACCATTCGATTAGTTCTGCAAAGCAGATTAAAATCTTCTGCCTAATTGGAGACTGTCCACACTGCTGCCTGCCTTCTAGCTCTGGTATGAACATGCCGTGCATCTTCAAACAAGGGTTCTCGGTTGGAATATGGCAGCCCTGACCCGAATGGATAGTGGTTTGTGAGTATGCCTCTCTGCAGGGCAGCACTGTGTTAGGGACAATCCTGGCAATTTTCACAAGCCTGGTCTCTGCCGATTAGGAACTTGCCTCGTTTATTCTTGTATACACGCAACTGGAGAACCCATAGCTTGGCATAATATTATATCATTAGTTTGCCTAACTCATAAGAATTTCATTTTAGAATGCAGTCACTCAGTAAAATCCTTATGAAACAGTTGTATAGTTTGGGGAAGGGGGATGAGAATCAAGAATATGGTTTATAAATATTCTCACTTGATTCAAAGCATAAGGCCCTGTTGGACATGACTAACATGACAGCCAGCCTGCTTTGGTGACTAAGTTGTTGCATAGTGGTAATGAGGGAAGTCTTAACATTTTCTTGGCAATGTATCTTTGCTTTGTTTCTGCTGAAATGAGGTTCTTTAAGATGTATGGTTTTTGGTTTTTCGAAATGGGGTTTTTCTGCAGACCAGGTTGGCCTTAGGGATCCTCCTGCCTCTGCCTCCTGAGTGCTGATATTAAAGGTGCACACCACCAAGCTTGGCTGAGGTGCTTGAAGATGTTGAATTATGCTTTATCTAAAAGATGAGAAGCTTAGATCCCTACCCTAGAATTCAAAAATTGGAAGTAGGTCAGATTTCTTCATTTAATCTAAAATACTTGTCTCAATTTACATTCAACCCATCTCTCTGGCACATTCTCTGACTTTCCTAAAACTTATCTAACAGATAACACTCAAAAGTACTTGAGCTTTTACAGCCTAGCATCCTTATGATGCTGCTCTTGCTAATGCGGGCCTGGGGTTTGTTCTTACAGATATGATGGTCACATATAAGAAGTGCTTAGATTGACTTTGGAGCCAATCTGAGACGCAATCTAAAAGCATACTACATGGTGTACATCAATCACATAATTTAATTGTCTCAGAGAAAGCATGTTTTACATCTCTTTATAGATTGACTGGGGCTCAGAAAGGTTCAGTGACCCATATGAGGTAACATAGTCATATGTAACAAGTCATTGAATTGAAATCCAATTCTAAATGCCTGAAAGACTATATCATTCCTCCTACTCCTAAAGAAGAGAGAAATCATGAATTGCATCTTCAAGAAGGAGTAAATGTTCAGAAGATGGACAAGACGGGAGTCGATGTTTGCATCAGTTGGTGGCTGTGAGTCTAGCATCAAAGCAGCAAGAGCACAGGAACATTGTTGGAGGGATGAAAGACACTGTGTTAAAGCTTGTTAAGATGGCAAGAAGTCTCAGAGCGACAAATAAAAAGAGCTGGGACATTTCGATCAGCTTGTGACTAGGACCAGGGACACACTGAGGCTAACTTGAGAGCCAACAATTCTGGAATTTAGAGCCATATTGGTGAGTCTCCTCTGAACATGCCAAGCAAGGAGAATATCAAAATCTCCTTGTATTCTCTACAGAGGCTGAAGAAGTGGTAGTTACACACAAGCCCATAAGTGGAGCCTGTTAGGGACCAAAGTCATTGATTAGTTTATCAATGCCTCACCCTCTCCTCCCTTATCTGCCTTCCTATCTTACATAGAAAAAGGGGAACAAGAGAGAGAAGGACAAAACAACTTGAAACAAAGACACAAAATTATAAGTATCCTCACATTGGAAGAGCCCAAGGGGAAGAACAGAACTGGGGGTTCCATTTTATGTTAAAATATTTTCATTGGTAATCAAGGCAGAAACTATTTCCTAACACAGCTTCTATATCTACAACTATATTAGCATATAATAACTATAGAGGCATGGGCTTCATTTCAGAATCTTTGGGCTTCTTGGAGTTGGCTGCTACAGAAAAGACAGAGACGGAAGAGAAAAAATGAAGCCCCAGCCCTTGTCCCATCTCTTCACCTGTCTGTATTTACAGGGGCCCTCACATGAGAACACATTCACAGCATCTTCGTATCTCCATAGTCTGGCGCCTCAGGGATCCGGACACAGATGCCATTGGTGAGGATTATGGCAAGAGAACTAGCCCAGGAAAGAGAAGCTTACAGACCCTGCATGTTATTTACTGTTCTCATTGCTCTGACAAAGTGCCTGAGATTGACATCTTAATGAAGGAAAAGTTCTTTTTTTGCCTTTTGGTTTCAGAGGGTTTTCTCCAGGATTGTTCATCCCTGTTTGGGCAGACTCTCATGGAAGGGGGAGTGTGTTGTCATAGAGACAGCTATTCACTTCATGGCATCAGGAAGTAGAGAGCGAAGGGGCTTTGGATCAGATTCACCTTTAAAGACCAGTCCATAACAACCTCTTTCTCCAGATGGGCCACCTTCTGGAGTTTCCAGAGGCTCTCAAGGCAGTTCCAGCAGCTGGAGACTAAGTATTTCACACATGAGCCCACAGTTGTCAATCCATATTCAAATCCTAACACCCTGAAAGTGGGTCTAGCACCAGGGCAGGGAATCCAAGGTCCTCCTATAAAAAGCATGACCTAGAAGTAGAGGTTCCTGATTCAGTTGCAAAAGTCCATTAGTCCTTTGGACCACTGACCCTTTAGAAAGGAATAATTGGGGCAAGAAAAGTAAAACTAATGGCCCAGCAAAACACAGTTCTTAAGGCAGGGACCATTCTTCCCTGTCTTAAAATAGTACTATACAAAATCCTGTATCAACATACCCTGTTTAGGCGCCAGACTTCTGTCTTGGTGATTCAATAGTCCCATAGCATTTCGGGAGGCCACTATCATATCAGAACACATGGAAATCTGCACAGAGCACAGTCAGGTTTGCAATGCACAGTGAAGTTCTTTTTTTTTTTTGGTTTTTTCGAGACAGGGTTTCTCCGTGTAGCTTTGTGCCTTTCCTGGAACTCACTTGGTAGCCCAGGCTGGCCTTGAACTCACAGAGATCCGCCTGGCTCTGCCTCCAGAGTGCTGGGATTAAAGGCGTGCACCACCACCGCCCGGCTTGCACAGAAGCATATATGTTAACCTTCTTAATTTGCAAACAGTTAAATGTCTTTCAAACTTGCGTGCAGTTCCCAGTGTTTACATGTACAACACATACATGAAGATTCAAACTGCCAGAAAACAAAGGAAGAGTTTTGAAACCCACTAATTTATTCTACTACAAACATATACACGCACATGCATGTGCACACACACACACACACACACACACACACACACACACAAGCACATTCAGAGAGAGAGAGAGAGAGAGAGAGAGAGAGAGAGAGAGACAGAGACAGAGACAGAGACAGAGACAGAGACAGAGACAGAGATGTTCTTCAATATTTTCCTGATTAAACATTTAATTCAGCAGAAAATCTAACTCAGGAACCCTGCCTCCATCTACCTGTAGATAAAGAGCTTGTTCAATCAGAAAAGTCCTGGTCGCTGCAGGGAGCTTTTCTGCGTGGTCTGGCTCTGGAACTACAGTGATTCACTTTCAGCCCTACTGAAGAGAACCCCTTCCTCTGAAAGGATCATCTTTGTTGACCAAACAATGTTCTCTCCCCAGTTGCCTTCCCTGCAGCTTCTGTGTGTAAAGGTTGAAGAATGTCAGTTTTCTAGTGGCAGGATTGGAAACAAAAACTAGATACTGCATTAAGAAAGCATGGGGAACCACATTCATTACCAGCCCAGACAATGGCATAACAGCTATTCTCTGCACCCCTTTTAGTCAATAGTCAAAATTTTATCACAATTTCTCATTGAGCTGCACCCAGAACTGCACAATTATTGATCAGCAGTGCTTCATGGAGAACTTACAATGTTCCAAACCTTGGCTCAGTTCACTTCATGAGGTCCCCTCTTATTATATGACCGTCTTATAAAGCCTGAGCCTCATAGTCCCACTGTTCTTATCTTTATAAAGACACGAACACGAACATTCAGAAGCTGTGTGTTCAAATTCACATTGCTAAGTCACAGAATCTTGAGTCAAAACCAGACATTATGAGCCCACGGACCTCCTGCTTCTCGTCAGTGCTTGTTTGCATGTGTGAAACATATTTCTGAAAGACACAAAGAGAAGGTAAATTTGTGTTTACCTTTTAATACAGCTGTAACCAAGGATGAATGAAAAGAATGAGTCAGTATCAATATGGGGTAATGGGGACCGTATTTAATTTCCTTCCCAAAACAACAGAAAACAAAAGTAGCACATGATTATATATGTATATACCATATGATCATAGGCATACTTATTAATTATATTACTACATCTATAGGTAAGAACTTATTTCAAGGCATTGGATATTAGGCAATAAAATAGAGTAATAACTGAATGAAAAGTAGCAAACAAACCACCTTGAGACTGCCCACATTATTCTCTGGCCAGTGTACTTAGGCTACAGACTAGAAGGCAATCCACACCAAAGTATTTTCTACAGGGAAAGAAAATGCATGTTTATTCAAATACTTGACCATATGTGCATATCAACAGTTGCATTTGTGATATCCCCAAACTGGAAACAATTCCTAATACATAAATAAACCGTAACATGCCCAAATGATGACTAGTCCTCAGTAATAAAAAATGAAGCAGTTATTGATCTCTACAACAGATAAATGAATCATAGATAACTCTCCCTAGTAAAAGAAACTGAACAACAACAAAAAAGGGCAAGCTATATGGTCCTTTATGTAAAATTCTTAAAACTGCAAATGAATATGAAATTACAAAGCAGAGCACCGGGAGCCTGGGCAGGAATGAAGGACTGTGCAGGGACGGCAGGAAACTTTGGGGTGATGGGTATGTTCATTGGCTTATCTGTGGTGATGGCACTATTCATACGCCAGAACTCATCAAACTGTACATTTTAAATATGTGCAATTTATATTGTCAGTTTTGCTGAAATTAAGATGTTTTCAAAAATAGAATACTTTAATTAATAAGATGAAAGTTTCTATGTTTTCTATTTTATAACCATAGTGTATAAAATGTGTAAGAGCAGGGATATACTTTACCTTATTCAGATATGATTTCTAATGCCCCAAATTGGGTGCCACAATTGCTACCTCTGAATAACAAATCTCCCCAAATGTAGCTGCATAAAGTGTCCATGTGCTATGTCGTGGAGTCTCTGTACCCGTGATCAGGGCACAATGGAGTGACACCCATCTGCTTTGTGATATTCAGGGTCTGGATCCCCTATAGCTCCTCTGCATCACTGGTCTCTGTGTGCTATCAGGGTGGAGGGTAGCCAGACATTGGATGAATCAGTTCTAGGCTCCTGAGAGAGCCAGGAGAAAGCTGGGCCCAAAAGCTTACATTCACTTCATTATTTCTGTTTGAAGTTGGTAGAAAGATTTTCTCAGTTTGAAGGTGAAAGGATGCAAATCCCACATATTGGTCGATCATTTTCAACATATTTGTCAACACTGTAAGAACACATTCACAGAAATATGTAGTGGTGGAATCACATTTTGATTTATTTATTTAAAATCAGGTCTTTCTATTTGGTAGTCTTGGCTATCCTGGAACTCATTATGTATACCAGGGTATCCTAGAACTCACAGGGATTCTCCTGCCTCTGTCTCCCAAATGCTAGGATTAAAGGTGTGTACCACCATGTCCAGCTAATGTAGCCATATTTAAAATTATACTATGTCACACAGTGTCATCTAAATGAATATCATTTGTCAGAATTTTTCAGTTTCACAAACATTCATCCTACAAAGACTATATCCTTTTATATAATAGGGATCAAGGAAGAACACATTATCACACACCATAGCAAGTGTATAATTTAATCTGATGAGTTTAATATGATGAATACAGGAGAAAATATGAATAAGGACAATTTGGCATATATGGTTGAAGTCTTGGAGAAGATATTTACTACTTTCAGGATCCACTGGAAGAAACCATGATTCCTACCCATGGTCTGTAGTAGATGCTGCCCCGCTGTCACCAGTCAGATGAGGATTTAGTGAGTAATGAACAGCACCACACCAATCACTCAACAATGTGTATAGAACCCTGATGTATAACTAAAATCATGTGCATACGGTGTATGTGTGCACATATGTGTGGGTGAGTGCAACACAGGAAGATGCTGGGTGCCCTTCTCAGTCACACCCAGCTTTACTTGGGTGAGACAGTTTTCTCACCAATCTGGAGCTAGGCTGGTATTAGGTGAGCACAGTACTGGGGTTACAGGTGCTCATGACATTCCTGGCTTTTTATACGGCTTCTGAGGATTCAAGCTCAGGACCTAGTGTGTCCAGCAAGGGCTCTTATCTTCTAAGCCATTTCTCTAGTCCCTAAATTCTATTTCAATATGGAATTTTAGAGCCAGGAGTAAACTCAGCAGTCCTTCAAATAATTTGCTAAAGATTATAACCCTATTTATTGCATCTCTAAAAGTTCACATGATATTACAGATGCCTACTCTGGTATTCTATGTGGAGGAGATTGTGGAAGTTGGTTCAGTGGGAATTACTTCATTGGGATAATATTTTGTGATACAAAATGAAAAGTGTGTTTACATACATCTTAAACCTACAACATTACCCTCATCTTATTTATAAAGCACAGGCTCTGCTATTATTTTTATGCACTGGTAGATTTTGGCACTTCTGTAGTTTCCTTTGATATGTGATTTACTATATTGACTAATCCTGAAGAGAGAAATCTAGAGTAAATAAACAGATTGACATTTGTCCAGCAAGAATACATGCTCTGAAGTCTTAGAACATGTGTTACAAAAACAGGAAAGAAAAGATGAGAAATTCAATTTCATTCCTTACCAAAACTTCTAATTGGGTCTCTGTCTCTCTGTCTCTGTCTCTGTCTCTCTGTCTCTCTCTCATCTGTGAGTCTCTTGATAATAAATATGCCAAAGGGAGTTAAGTTCATGCTTCAGAGCTCGGAACATTTCCCTCAAAGATGGGCTACTAATCATGAAGTAAAGAGAGGAAAGCCATTTGCTTTTTTGTGGCTCTGCCCCTGCCTTGGTCCTGCCAGGCCTGCCTGAACATCAGCGGAGTTCAGTGGTAATTAAAGCAACAGTGTTGTGAGAAAAGTGTGAATTACTTTTACGGGGAGCCTTGGATGTTGCTCCTGACTGACAAAGCACAGCGGGGGGCCTCTGCTGGGTATTAAAGAGTGACAGCCGTGGGCCTCAGAAGGTGGCTTCCCAGCACAATGCAAAATTGTGACTTTTCACAAGTTGGTATCTCTGCCATCATCCGAGTTATCGGCTCAAATTTTAGATTTGTATTTTTCGCTTTGGCATGTCTATGAGCAAGACTATGCAACATTCGGGAAATGTGGTCTGGTTGCTAGAATTATGCAGAGCTAAGCTGTATTTTCTGTCTTTCTTTTCCCTGGATTTTTTTACTCCATTATGGAATTATTTCAGCCTTGAAGGTTATTGAAAATGTAAGGAAAAAGCAATGAAGGGGTCACCTGCTTAAGCCTCGTAGCGAGTTATTCTAAAGCTCAGTGTCAAGGCTATTTCTGTCATTTTTATTTTTAAAAAATTAGTGTGTGTGTGTGTGTGTGTGTGTGTGTGTGTGTGTGCGTGTGTGTGCATGTGTGCGTGCCTCTGTGTGTGTGTGTGTGTGTGTGTGTGTGTGTGTGTGTGTGTGTGTGTGTGTGCATGCGCGCGCGTGCGCGCGCCATGGAGCACATATGGAAGTCAGAGGATAACTTGCAAGGTTTGTTTTTCTCCTTCCACTACGTGGGTCTCAGGGCTTCAGACCAGGTCATTAGGCTTAGCAGCAAGTGCTTTCAGCAGAGGAGCCACCTCACCAGCCCTTTCTATCATTTTTTTAAAGAGAAGTGAAGACAAGCACTCTGTTGACAATGCCCAATGGATGCAGCTTTGTGCTCTCAGGATATAAGCACCTGGGTAGATGGACTCCTTGGATCCAGTCAGGAAACGGTCAGATGGCACTCTAAGTGGCTCGGTCTCTTGTTGAGCCGGCTCCCACACAGATGTGATACATGTTGATTCTGCTCCTTGTCTAACAAGAGGAGGGAAAACGGTATTAGCAAAATCTAATAAACCACCTTCTGCAGATGTGAGGCAAGAAAGGAAAATAGCTCAATGGACTATTAATCACTTCTCCATTCACAAGTGAGCACACACTATCAGGATTCCTGAGTCAGCTTCACAGAACAGAACAGGTGTGGTCTGTGGAAAGCTATCACCAGTGTAGACCCGGCAGCCGCATGTGCACAAAAGAGGGTCGTGTGAACTAACAGGAATGTGAGCCAGGAATGGTGTTGTGTTAAGATTACAGAACAGAAGTTTAACTGCCAGGTAATATGCTTTTCTTTCTTTTTTTTTTTTTTTGGTTAACACACTGTCCATAAATAAAGGGACAAAAAGTGACCCCATCCAGTGTGACCAGCAGATTAGTGTGTGGATCCATGGGCTCAGCCAAGTCAAAGCCAAGTGACATCATGAATAACGGTGGCTATGAGGTTGGACAACAGAGTCCTGATGTCCACACACAAACTGTGCAGCTCTAATTTCTTCATGAGCAACAGTGTTATAAAATTTACCCCCATCTTTTTTTTAAGATCGGGTAAATTAAAATGTAAAGGACATTTTAAGAAAATATCTTGCATTTAGGATGTAGTTGACGACCCGACCTTGTCATTGTCACCATTCAAACTAGGTGCTGTGATGAGGCATACAATCACAGAATTCCCTTTGCTGTTAGATGTACTGACTGTGATTTGTTAAGCAGTGGGCTAATATTTTTAAGTAGAAGGATATGAAATGGCATTTAGGGGATGATGCTGCAAAATGCCAAACAATAGATAGTTTCAATAGACAACAATCATATAAACAAAACATCTGGGGTGCTCTAAATGACATTGTTTCACCCCACTAGTACAAAGTTTAATTAGTATATAAATAGCATACTCGTTTACAATTGACATAATGCCACCTTTTCTCATGCTGAGCTGTCAGGGCCCGTGAAACTGTAAAATTTCTGACACTAAACATTTGTTGTAAACTGATCCTTCCCAAAGTAACCTAACTAAACTGAAAAGACAAAAGACATAAAAATTATTTAAAAATAAAAATAAAAGGCCACTACTCAAGTCTGTTAGAGAAAAGGACCCAAACTGCTTTGGGAGAGAGATTCACTATGTTATGTTGGGTTGAGGGTACACTCTGTAAAAGAAAAAAAATGCATGAACCACCAACCCCAGAGTGATGAAAAGCAGAATGGGTAAGGAAAAAAAATACCCTCAATTGACACAGCTATTTTCATCACATCAAATCAGCCATCTGTTCTTGACACAGTTTATTATCATTAGGAAGACTTTCTCAGTTCAGACATGGTGATGAGGAAAGACGAAGAATTAACAGATAAATAACCAATTTGGAAAATTCAGGCTAAGACCATTTTCCTCAATTTCTACTCCCTCCTTTCTTCTTGCTCCAATTACTCTAAGAAAGGCTTCAGTAGCATGATTAGACATGTTTATGGTGTTGTTTTTTTCCTCCCTCACATAAGCATAACAAACCACACACACTAGGTTTGTACCAAGTGATACACATGTGATGAACTTTGAACACAAAAATGATAATTTTGTAATGTTGAAAATGACTGCATACACTAAGAATAACAGTTGACCACAGTGAAAGTTAAGGGAATTAAATACTATGAATAAAAGTCTAAAGATATGGATGTTTTCCTCCTGGAATTCATTCATCAGAAGTCCATGCATTTACCTTGGGACAAGAATGTTTAGGGAAGATAGCCTCTGAAATCATCACAGAGTGCCTCTAACAGCCCTGTGTGGTATTACAGAGAAAGACAAGTAGATGCAGAAAACTAACAAGAAGAAGAAAATATTTAAGACATATGATTGTCACTGACTTCATAAAGTGAAGTTGGAAACTTACAAAAGCTAAACTCATAAATTTAAGGGGGGGGTAAAGTTAAAATAAAACTCTTGACAAATATCAGCTGACTTGCTTAAAAATTATCCAAGCTGGTTATTTTAGCTACTTAATGTCAAAGAACAAAATGTTTGACTCTCACTCAAATAGTTCACAGATTCATGATGTTAGATTTATAATACTCTAGCACACAGATTATAATACTCTAGCACAGATCAAGCTAGAAATAATATGTTTTTGACTAGAAACTTAAAAATGCTAAGAACAGTAACCATTAAAGTTAAGCTATGCAGACTCCTCAAAGCTTCTTCTATCCCTAACATTCAGGAAAGCCAGACATGGTGACTTATACCTTACAGAGTGAGACACTGTCTAAATAAATAAATAAATAAATAAATAAATAAATAAATAAATAAATAAGCTAATGTCTGGAGTATTTTGTGGGGGTGTATCCTTTCTTTGATTACATTTTAATGATCTTTTATTCTGATGATTACTAATTGCTAGGTATACAGTTTTTAACTCCTCATTCTGTATCCCTGTTGCTGTATTATTTTGTACTTGATATACTCCATTCTCATTTTTGTCTGCCATTGGCTTCCCTAGTTCTTCTTATATTATTTGTTTTCTTTGTTGCTTCAGAAAAGCAGAAAGCCAAATAGCTTCAAAGTCATTCTTCCACAATAGTGAACACCTTAGCCAATGTACATTAAGCTGGCACTGTGCTAGGCTATGGGCTTCACAGAGAGCTGGGCACATATGGTCCCAGGCCTTCTGTAGCTTAACTTTCTGGATCAGATTAAAAAAAGAAAAGAAAAACAAAAAGAAAGAAAAAATTACATCCTTAGGCCAAATCCAGCTTGACATCTTTGACATCTGTACATAGATTTCTGTAATTAGATTTTGTGAAAACACAGACCTCGAAAATATTTACATATTGTCTATAACTGTTCTTGGGCTACAAAGAAAAAGTTAAGTAGTTCAGAATATTTGCTCCCAGACTCTTTATAGAGAATGCTGATGGACTCCAGAGTCATCTCCAACTGGTTCAGCCTATCCTTTCTTGGCTTGGCAAGTATGCCCTTGATTTCTTGTGGTTCAGTGATTCCATTCACAGAAATGGACACTTGCTTGAATTTCAGCCACCGTTTCTACCTGCTTGCTTAGCTTAGTCACACACACACACACACACACACACACACACACACACACACACACAGAGAGAGAGAGAGAGAGAGAGAGAGAGAGAGAGAGAGAGAGAGAAATGACCAGTATGAGATAACTGAAATTAATTTTTTCCAGAAGCAACTTTTTTCTACCCCTTCCAATCACTAGCAAATAAACTTTAAGTCTTTCATTTTCCTTCAACATCTAGGCAAGAAGAAAGAAAGAAAGAAAGAAAGAAAGAAAGAAAGAAAGAAAGAAAGAAAGAAAGAAAGAAAGAAAGAAAGAAAGAAAGAAAGAAAGGAAGGAAGGAAGGAAGGAAGGAAGGAAGGAAGGGAGAGAGGGAGGGAGGAAGGGAGGAAAGAAGGGACCCATATTCTTTATGTACTCTTGTTTATATTGCTGGTTCCTCATCCTGGGCCCCCAAACCCCACACTTTGACTATTATAGTCAAGTAAGAATCATGCTGTAGTCAGTCTCTATGCTTAAAAATGCTTTGTCTTTTACTCTCCCATCACCTTGCAGGTATCACCCTAATCTACAGTAGCTTTCCAATGAAATTCTCAATCTTTGGATGAGGATCTCTTTTGTAAGGATGCCACAAAATTGCTTCAAGAGTTCCACAAACACAGCAGTGTCTAGAAGCAGAATAAATACTGAGTATGCTGGTTAGATGCATCACAATCTTCATTTCCCAAATGTGCACAAATTCTGTGGCATCTGAAATACAGAAGTGTTGACTGAAGTTACTGATTCATTGTAACTTTTTCTCATTTTGTATTTTCCTTAGCAATTGATTCTAAAAATGCAACTCCTTTTTGACTGTATCTTGTAAGATAAAGGTCCTCAGGGGCCATTGAATGCTTACTCTATCCTTAGGGAGGACTTTAATCAATTCACAATGTGCCTATGGGAGTGCAAGGCCTCAGTATCAGAGAAAAAAAATCAAAAGTTAAAAACAGTTAAATGTTACTTTCTCCTTCCTTCTCATGACCTTTCACCTTGGCAAAAACTATGGATTTGGAAGTTTTATGGGGATGCAGAAAAACCTTAGGGAAAAGAAGATTTCCCAAACCTAACATGGTTGTAGACATCAAGGGAAAGGAACTCGAGGGCTCCTAGGTATTTCTAAATAGTCCAGCTCTGAGGATGAAGATGAGCAGATGAATATGGGGATAGAAATTATGTGGCAGAATAAGTTGCTCTGACTCAAGAAAAAAACAGAATTTGGCTGTAAGTGCCTCACTAGGGGTGTGCGGACATTTATTTAGCTCCTATGGTACACCAACCATTACATTATGCCTTTTAACTTCAATGAAAAAAAAATGTACTTATTAGAAGAGTCACATGAATTGGCTATGTTCACATTGTTAAACAGCAGAGGGGAGCTGGAAAATAGTTCTACGAGGCTTTCAAGCTTCTTCACACTTTATTCATCACCAAGCTCTCGCTTCTGAGTACTTGAAGAATTTTCAAGTCACTGCAATCATGAAGACCATTGTGCAACTATCTTGTATATCATAATCCCTTTCTATATACCAGCAGGTATTATGTCATCAATGGAAAAGGCAGAACCTATTTATTACATGTAAGTCCATACATTGAAAATGACAGTTCTTTAAATATATAAACAAGTTAGGGCTGTCCTAAGAAGAACGAGGGCTCTCCACTGAGACACATTGGTACTCACAGAACCTGGTATGTACAGAATCTAGCTCAGAATGGAAACCATGACTGTTGTGACTGATTTGTGCCTTAAATCCATTCTCTGAGTCAGTCTGAAAGATACCTATGATTCCCTGGAGCTCAATCCCTTCCTGTTGCATGATGCTGAGGGAAAGTGGTAGAAACCCTTTATGGCTGGAACTTGCAGAATGTAGCTCTCCAAGCTGGGTCACATGCAAGTAAAGAGTAAGTAAAATAGGAATAAAATGA